AGGACTGAGGCTTCAAGGTTTGGGGTTTACGGGTTCAGAGTAACAGAGCCGGAGGTCTTGTGTTCAGGATGCCGGGTTTCTAAACCCTAAACCCTAAAGCCCTAAAAGCCTAAAACCCTAAACCCCAAAGCCGCCAAAACCCTAAAGCCCTAAACCCTAAAACCCCAAACCCCCTAAACCCTAAAACCCTAAACCCAGGTTTCAGAGTTCAGGGTTTAGACTTCAGGGTTTCGGATACAGTGCTAGCCCTTGCAAGTCCCCGGTTAAGCTGTTTCTGTTTCCACCATACACCGGTTTAGGGTTTAGAGTTTAGGGATACACCCTTTGCTACAGAAAAGAATCGAAGTGTGGGCCCGTGGCGTGGGCCCTTAATTTGTCCTACTTGTCAGCCATGGAAGATGATCTCATTGATGCAGCATGTTTCCACCATACACCAATTGCTACAGAACTTAATGTCAACTGACATGATAGGCACAGGAAGTCAAGTACCTGGAGAGGGCATCTCAATTTAAATCCTCAGCAAGAACCCAAAGCCCGTAGAAAGCTTCATAAAACCTACGACATCACGAGTGAGAGGGTTTTAAAACCCCTCTAAAACCCTTCCAAGCACCTTGCAAAATCGTGTTGCAAACCCTTTGTTAGGCCAATGAAGCCTTGTTTGAGGCCTTTCAGAGCCCCTTCCTACAGCTTCCAACCTGTCGCGCCTAAACCTTACGTGAATCCTAAACTAACCCCTAGTTTTCTGGAAAAGTAGGTCCGTCCTATCAAAACAATCCTACAACCCTGCGAGCCCCAACCCTCCCCTAAGCCTTCACTGGGTTCTTGTTAAGGGATGTAATGTAAGTTACCATAGTAATGAAACTATATTATTTACTATAGATCCCTATAATGGTAACTTAACCTAGATCCCTTAACAAGAACCCAGCTCAACGCTACAACCCTAAACCCCTAAACTCTAAAAGCCCAATCTGCCGGCCCGGTGCCAAGGCTCAAGTCGCCAGTGAACTGCCAGGTGTGGCCTGGGCTCTCACTCTACGAGTACAACATCGATGTGTCGCGGGGCCAAATAAAAGGGTTAGGGTCTTTTGGGGTTTAGGGTTTTTTGGATTCTAAGGGTTCAAAGACGGTCTATAGGGCCTATAGGGTTTAGGCTTCTTTTAGGGCCTTTTGGGTTTAGGATTTGGGGTTTAGTTTCTTAGCTTGCATTGGGATTTTGGGATTTAGAAGTTTGGGGCTTTGGGCACAGCGTGCCGTACAGCTCTAGAAAAGTAAACGACTACGTGATAAGAGATTGGGCAATACTGGATGGAGATCATAGCAGCCAGCGAGATTACTGAGCGCTCACAGCTCAGAAGCTTTCAATCATAGACCCCTCAGCTCGAAAGATGTGAGACCCTGTTGGTTGAGAAGAACCCCTGTCCGACCGTCAGCCTCTAGCAGTCAGCCTGCCAAAGCTTGGAATGACGTTTAGCCCCATAGGCCCATAAGCCCAAAGGCTGTACTTCTTCCCCCTGAGGCCCCGCCCTGGAGATTTGAGGCTCTTCCGATAAGCCCAATACACCTATAACCGCTGTATAAGATGCTCAAGACCCATGAATGTCTGCCTTACACAATATTCATTGACCCTAAACCCTAAACCCAGTTTAATTGAGGCGTATTGGCTTCGCTGGGAACACTATAAACCCTTTACAGAACCCCTTGGGCAGTTTCATTATATAAAGCCCTGCAACCCAAACCCTAAACCCTAAACGCCTAAACCCTAAACCCTATAAACCCCTATACCCTAAACGCCTAAACCCCAAACCCTATTTACCCCTATACCCTAAACCCCTGTACCCTAAACCCCTTTACAAAAAAAAGGGGGTTTAGGGCTTAGGGACCTTCGAAGAACCGAGACCTGATACAAAGACTCGGCCTCGAAGCGGCTCCCTGGAGTGGCTCGTGAAGTATCCCCGCGAGGCCGCCGCGCAAGCCCAGGCTTTTCGGATAAGACTTATAGTTTCTGTGTAGTGTAGAGAGGGCTTCATAAGATTTTCAGCGTGTTTTCTTTTATGATTTTAGGGGGGTTCCATGAGTTTTTGATGACATAGAGAGGGCTTTTTTCAGATTATCGGTGTTATATAGAGGGATTTGTGTGGATTAGATCAGAGGTTGGTACAGGCAGCTCAGCTTTTCACCCGGTTTAGTGCTTTAGAGCTCAGGGCCTGCATCCGGTTTCAGATGGCTCTTTAGTATATAACTTATATGCATTTAGGCATTTGCATGTTTATTCGAAGGCAGAGAGAATAGTAGCAGTAGTCGTCGTCGTGGTAGCAGCAGTAGTTAGCAGTAGCACTAGCACTAGCACTAGCAGTAGCAGTAGCAGTAGCAGTAGCAGTAGCAGTAGCGCAGTAGCAGTAGCAGTAGCAGTAGCAGTAGCAGTAGCAGTAGCAGTAGTAGTAGTAGTAGTAGTAGTAGCAGTAGCAGTAGCAGCAGCAGTTGCATCCCTAAGCTCGAACGCCGTCTCTGAACCCTATGCCCAACATCCTTCTAGCCTCGAGTATTGGGGGTCTCGGGTCCAGGCTTACGCGTTCGACAGCCGGGTACAGCTTAGTTCTAGAAGTTTTGGCCGAAGCATTGCGGAACTCTCAGCCGAACGGGTTTGGCATCTGGGCCCTCAACCCTAAAGTGTCCAGGATCTAGATGCGCCATTTCCTCAGACTTCTGTCGACCTTGAAATCCAGACCAACACGGTAGGATCACACGTATAACGACGCCAAAACCCAGACCCCTAATTCAGCCTTTTTTGTAACCCCTGTTCACGAAGGTTCACTAGGGTGCCTCCCCATTTTCTGATCGCACGGTGCCCCGCAAGCCTCAATCGCCATCGCAGGCTGTGTCTCTCGGCACATTCCCAGACCTGCTTTCCGAAGGACGGGTTTAGCCAGCTTAGGTTTTGGTTTGGAGGTTTAGGGTTAAGCAGCAGTTGAGCATTTGAGTATGGAGCAAAAAAAGCCCGAGCAGGTTGGGGCGCAAACCCGGCAGCTAATGAACTGAAGACGAAGCCCGATCCATACATAGCCCCAACAATTTCCTTATCCCTATAGATAACCGAACTGAACTGAAAGATTAAATCGCAGCAATAACCACGCAACAATCCTTAAACCCTATAAGTAAAGCAAAAGACGGACTAAGCCTGTAAATTCTTGCATACACCCTGACCCTCAACCCTCTGGTATGGAGATCCCTGTTCTTTCTCCTTTCCCGGCTTCCGGTGTTACTTCTGGTGTCGCAATAATTAGGAAAGAAGGTGGTGATAAGGAGTCTTGTGGGTTTAAGACCTTAAGGGAGTTTAAGTATGGGGATCGAAATAACTTGCGACAATAACCCTGTGCATGGGTTCTATATGGACCCCTGTAGGTTTTCATGTAGAAAACCACGAGTTGTAGAGGGCTCTGATAATGGATTCTTTTGAGTCTAGGGTTTAGGGTATTTAAGTATAGGGGCGGGAATAATGCATAGCAATCTATTTTGGACTTCTCCAATAGATATATATCTTTATCTGCAGCCAAAAACCCCACAGCTGTAGTCTACTTTCTAATGGCTCAGGACCCTGGATTACATTGACTACTTGGAGGTTCATGGGTAGTTATAAGTAGGCTTATAAGTAGGATAACTATACTTATAACCCATATTGGGGGGACCTATCACCTTACTTATAAGTACCCATGAACCTCCAAGTAGGCTCATCTACCGGGTGCGTGAATTTGCAAAAAGAACCGCAGCGCGTAGGGACCTAACTCGCAGAGCCAAAACCCACCAACCCGAGCAAAGCCCTGCAAGAGACAAACCCCAAGCCCTAAATCCTAAACCCCGTTTAAAGGGAGCTTCCGAAGTCAGGAAGCCCAACTAATACGACACGATATATGCAAGCCCACAAGCTTAACCCGCCATTAGACAATATTTAAACCTAAATGGTAATTACCTACATTACTCCTTAGGGGTTCGGTTCCTTATCATATTTGTACTACAAAGGAGCCCAAAAGCTTTTTCTACTTATTAAGGCCCCCAGATTAAATCCCAGTAGACCCCTAACACTAAACCTTGGCTCGAAGAGCCCCCCCCGTGTGAAGCCCAGGAAAGGACCGACCGTCTGCAAGCACGCAGAAGTGGGCAGCACGTGAGCGTGGCGAAAGTGGCGAAAAAGGTTGCAGCCTATCCGGGCCGTTTCGGTTCGGGTTTAGGGTTTGTTCGAGGTGTAACTAGTAACCTAAGGTCTAGTGTAGCTAAAGAGGGGGGCCATGCTTGGACAAAGTTACTAGTTACTCAGACATTTATATGAAGTGTAGGGAGTTCGAGGGTAAAGAGTGCTTGGAGCCCTTTGCTCAAAAATAAATGTCGATGTTGCACAGCAAAGTTAGCAGATGCGTACACATCGGAGTACGTGTGCTTCTGGGCAAAATGGCAGCCAACCGGCATAGGATTGCTTCCTGAAGCCGAAAACGGAGGTCTGAATCATTGCGATTGTCCCCGTCTAGTCCCTTCAAAACTTCAAAAACGCTGGAACATACCCAAAACCTTATTCTTATTCTTGAGGCCCCAATATTGAATCGCAATCCTCAGCTCCGGTTGCATTCGTTGACCTTGCCTGAACCTCCCAAAAACCTGGACCTTTCAGGAACTTACATCACAAAAACAGAATAAGGAGCCCCCAAGCCAGTAGGTTGGGGATCCCTCCCCCCTGTTTTCCAAAACGAGCCCTTAACATAGGCCCTGGATAAGAGCATCCTTAAGATAAGGACCCCCTGTCAAAGGAACCCGCCGATGTTAGGGTACCGTTCATAAGCCTTGCGAAACTCGTTGGAACCCACGTGAACCCCTTCCGAAACCTTCTAAGATCAAGTCCAACCCTTTAAAATCCCCTACAAATCCTTCAGACAACCCTGCCGAATCCATTGACCCTGAACCCTAAACCCTAAACCCTAAACCCTAAACCATACAGAAAGTGCCAGGTGCTATCCATGGTACTTCCGAGACGGCAGATGACGCCTCACGAGCTAACTTCCCTGTGGGAGAAGGAGCACCTTGCCTTTTTTGGTTAGGCGTTTTTGCATGTTTGTGAAGGGAAGGGTTTAGGGTCTTTTTGTTAGGCGTTTTGCTTGTTTGTGAAGGGAAGGGTTCGGGATTTGGGGGTTTTAGTTGGGGTTTGGTTTGGGATCGGGGGTTTATGGTTTACGACTAAGGATTGGGGGTCACGGCTGAAGGTTTTGGGTTTCTGCCATTGCCACTACTATCCGCTTTCAGCGAAGACAGCTTATCTTGAACAGAAAAGATCTAGCCCATGCAGCTCAGGTGGGGTGTGATGCATGCCACAAGGACGGCTCGGCATCAGCTTGTGCAGCATAGAAGGCCTTCTGCTACCCTTCGTTTACTATCAGGTCTGCTTTCGGAATGGCTGGTTTCGTCGACATTCTCAGCACTCACTGCGAGTGACGAAGGCATCGTTCCGACACCCATCCAACCTTTGAGAACTAACTAGCCTGGCAATCGCTACATCGATAGCATGGGTCCCTCATCTCGAGCTGCCCACCCATCTTCCACTGCGGGTTTAGGGTTTAGGGAGCCGGAGTCGTTTCGATGCCACTCACAAGCGGCTTGGAGAAAGGTTGTGGATGCCTCAAACACGGTGCTGCAACACCAGAAAACTCTTGCACCCTAATCCACGCAATGCGTCTCTATCGAAGTTCTACTGACATTGAAACTGGGTTGTTCCTTAGGGTTGTGCAATATAAACAAACTATAACAGTATAACCCCAATACCCTACTCTGTTCAGAGCCCATTCGGAACGCGCTGCACAGGATCAAATTCCGAGCCCCGTCGTCCTCGCCCTCAAAATGGCTGAGCCACCACGGTGACCACCTGCCACTGGCGCCAGTCGCACCTGAGCCGACATAGTTTTTTTCAAGAAGGCTGTAGATCATAACACTCGTGGTGCTGGAAGGGTATTTCGCACATATCTCTGCAAGCTACTTCCAGAATAGTTGTAACCAAAAGCAGTCTCGCACGCCCTTGGCCCTAAGCCCGAAAGCTGAGATGAGGTTGTGGTGCTGGAGACGAAGGGCTTGGGCAGCATTCTGAGCCTTCCACAGCATTCCTGCGTTCGGAATTACTTGGGCTCGGTGCTTAGGGTTTAGGGTTTAGGGTTTAAGGTGCGCGACCCCTAAACTCCAGACCCCATCATCTGCAGAGCACTCCTGTTCGGCCTCTCGTGTTGTGGTGACATTGATGACGATGATGAGGACGACGACGACGATGATCAGGAGGATCTGGTGGTCATGATGATGAGGAGGAGGGGAGGAAAACGATGTCGGTGAGATGACGATGACGACGATGAGGAGGAGGAGAAGGAAGAGGCCGAGAAGGAGTGGGAGGAGGATGAGGAGGATAAGGATGATGATGAGGATGATGCGAATGATGAGGATGATTAGGGTGATGAGGATGAGGATGATGACGATGATGATGATGACGACGATGATGATGATTGCGGGCAAGAAGACAATCATTGTGACGACGACGACGACGACGCGGCTGCTGCTGCTGCTGCTGCTGCTGCGGCGGCTGCTGCGGCTGCTGCGGCTGCTGCGGCTGCTGCTGCTGCTGCCGGCGATGAAGATTATGATGACGGCTGTAGCATTGTATACCGCCAGAACCCTGTTCAAATCTCTTACCTTCTTTCTAAGTCCCCCGACCCCTCAGGTGAGTCGGGAGATGGGGACCCTCTAATATCATTTAATCGAGGAATGTACCTTGAATCATATTAAGGGTCCTACTATAGCTTAGGGCATATGCCTGAATTCAGGAACATATCTCCTACTATCATTTACGGTATATTTCCTCAAGTATGGGATACTGGAAGCCAAACCCTAAACCCTAAACCCTAAACTCCTAAACCCTAAACCCTAAATCCTGAACCCTGTGGGAGGGAAAAAATCCTGAACCCTAAACCCTAAACCGAGGAACTCCTTGGAGTGCGCTTTTCGCCAGCAGCGGGGCGCCCACGTGGAGACGCTCCGCCAGGGCCAGGACGCACTAATACGGTTTAGGGTTTAGGGTAATTTTTTACGGCTGATGATATAAATCCTGCATTACCCATAATAAGGAATATACCAGAATTAATTCCCATAGTTTAGGGTCCTTAAGGTAATGCAGGATTTTTATCATCAACAGTATGTCAAAATTCCGCCAAAGCCGAAAGCCCTATTCACTATTCTGATTAGTAAACCCCTTTTGTAGAGTTTTGCGGTTTAGGCATGGGGCGGCGAACATTAGGTTACTAAATGGTTGTAGGAATGACCCTGCTAACCCTTCGTGCAATCATAGTCCCAATCGGGAACGACAGTGTGCAGAAGAACAGCAATAAACGCAACAGATATGATTATGGCAAAAAAGTTGTAAATAGTGACGAAGATAGACGAAGATAACGGCATGTCCATAGCAACAGCATGAAAAGACTTCCTCTCAGAGGGATCTTGCCACATTTTTCGCGGTGGGGATGAGTGGGCTGGAGGGTTTGCAGTTTGTTTGGATTTTGAGGCGATCAGTAGCTTCGGCTCGTGTTTAGGGCGGGTTTAGGGTCATGGCAGGGAAAGGAGGAGCTCAATTGATGCAGAGTGCAAAATCTGCGACTCATGTAGATGAACTGCTCCACATGCCTACCCTAAACCCTAAACTCTTTCAATCTGATTAGGCTTCAGCGTAACTACCAAGTTTTTGCGCAGAAACCCTACCTTGAAGAAACCGATGACCCTTAATTCTAAGCCCTACCGTAAGGACGCAATGAACCCTAAAACGGTCTAAGGTTCATATACCATTTAGGAATTCATAGTATAAATAAGGGTATAGGGCCCCTACTTCTAAGGGTCACTTCGTCCTCAAGGCAAGGCAGTTCTGGTAATTTGAAACATGCGCATCAGCCACAGGAGTTCCAATGGTCGTCCTGGACTCCACAGCAGGATTTTGAGTGGGGAATTGGATTTCCCATCTTGGGCGCGCCAAGATTTTTGCCTTTGGGGCTAAGAGGATTTTGGGGTTGAGGTTTTTGTTTCGGCGCAGGGTTAAGGCGCACGTTTTCTCGATTTAGGGCTCAGGGGTCTTAGGATCTGAGTCTTCCAAGATGAATGAAGGGTTTGGAGTACCCCCTGGGGGTTCTGCGTCATGGGGGGTCATTTGGCTCATGAACTGCAGACAACTCTCGTAGATGCTCAGGCCAGCGAGAGCTTCAGGACCAGTTGCAATTTAATGACGTCGTGAGCTGGCCAAGAACTCCGAGAGCCTAGGAAAAGACTCAGCGTCGTTGAAAAGATTGACAGTGGTCTTGTAAGGGCCTCAATAATTGGAATAGGGTTTTGGCCTCCTTAATCATGTAGTTAAATTCAAGGAATTCTGGGAATAATATAGGTAATTATTAAGGCCCCTATATTACACACGACAAGTGTCGCCTTGTCGGAGTAGAGGTCAAGGGCACTTGCCGGACTTCAATTTTGTGTGACGAGCACTTGTGTCTTCAGCCTTTCGGCAGGCTCTGGATGAGAACCACCGGATGCTGAGTGAGAAAGAGCTGCAGTGGCATCGCGAGCGCGCTGCTGAAGCAGATCTCCCGAAGCGACCAGCCTCACCCCAAAACCTGTCGACGCCCTTGATCGACCCCTACGCCTCACCGGAAGTCTACGCCGCCCCCGTCCCTCCACAACCAGCCGCGACAGCCGCGCCCACCACACAAAAGCCACAACCCAGTGCCACCCCTGTCACTCGAACACCGCCTTATCCTAAAGCCACAGTTTCCAGCACAACTGCCACCAAGATGCCCCCAGAGGCCACCACGAGCCCAGCACCTCAGAAGGCTGCAACAAGCGGCCCCCGACCTTTTCGGGAGACCACGGCCAACAGAACCGCACCTTCTGCTGCCCCACCGGCCCCAGCAGGGCAAGGAGCTTCATGGTTTGGGGTTCGGGGTTTAGGTGTTTGGGTGCTTAGGGGTTTAAGGTCTAGGAGTTTGGGGTTTAGGGTTTAAAAGGTTTAGGGTTCAGGGTTTGGGTGTTTGGGTGCTTAGGGGCTTAAGGTTTAGGAGTTTAGGGTTTAGGGTTTGGCGTTTAGGATCAGGGATTGGCAAGGCAGGGTGCGCCCACGAGGGTCTAGGGTTAAGTTGGCTTAAGAGTGGGTTCAAGGCAACATAAAACAAAGGAGTCATAGGGGAAAACGGACAGAACATCATTGTCCGCACATCCTTGTTCTGTCTATCTAGGTCTTTACAGTATCAAGATCTTCAAGATGCTATCGTCTAATTAGGGGTGTAGGGGTGAGAGGTTGGGATTTCAGGCTTCGGATGAGAGCTCCCTTGAATACCGGATCTGTAACCGGTTTAGGGTTTAGGGTTGCGTCATCACCAAAAAAACGCATGCCGCCCCAGGCCCTAAACTGGATTCTGCAAGTCTCGGAAAACGCAACCAGATGAGGGTTTAGGGTTTAGCAGAAGCCAGGAGCAAAGCCCCTACATGCTGATTCGGCCCTCTCACCACTCCCATATAATAAGTATGGAGGTCTTAATAGTTATCGGTTGCAGTCCATGCTTTGTGCGTGAGTCTACATATCGGGAATTACAGCTTTAGGTCCCCAATCAAGACCCTTCAGATCAGGAAAGGCCTACGCAGGGGCCCTCTTTGGGTCCTCAATATAGTATGGCACCCTAGGACTCTAAAAGGGACCCTGATTTAGAGAATTACCCAAAAACGTAACCTTTCCGACAGAGGAGCCCAGGCCAAGGCAAGGGCGGAGAAGCCCGCGGCCGAGGGCGAGGGCTGGGCAGCGCAGCAGCAGAGGCTGAAGAAGGACGGAGAGGGGGGGTGATATAAAAAATCCTATAATTCGGGTTTAGGGCTTATGGGTAATGTAAAAGCCTAAATCCCAAATAATTAGGGTTTAGGGCTTAGGGGTACTATAAAAGCCTAAATCCTAAATAATTCGGGTTTTGGGCTTTGGGGAAATGCGGAAGCCTAAATCCTAAACAATTAGCAATATGTTTCCTTTGGGATCCCTAACTAAGATAGTTATACTTTAAAGGAGATCAACACCCTGTTCCCATTATGGAGGGACTATTTAGGATTCAGAGGTTTCTGGGTTTAGGGCTCTAGGTTTTAGGGTTTGTCCTGGATGCAAAAGGGTTTAAAACGGGAGGACCGGATTAAGGTTGTTGGTTCTGTGGTTTTCATGTGAGCAACAACCACAAAAGCCACAACCACAACCAACCACAACCACAATCCATCTCGTATGTAACCGTACGGCCAGCCAACACAAGAATGATAGTAAGACTGCTAACAAGAAGCTTGTCACAGGTCAGAGGTTGTGCTTGTGCCTGAGCCAGGCAGAGATTTCGAGTCGTCTACATATTGACATTTAAGACCTGGAAAACGATAAAACAAATAAGTAATTAATGAAATCATATCCAAAACATACATAAATGTGACATATGTGTATATAGAGAGATATGTGTATATATTCGTATGTCTGTATGTGTACTGTATATATGCATATGTGCCATATGGCACCGGCCGGCCGACCGGAAGGGGAAGGCTGCTCTCCAGCCGATGGACGTGCTGAGCGACTGGGTGGGTGCATCAACCCCGACTTGGTAAATATAGGGGCCTCAATAATTATCTATACTAGTTTGGGGGCTCCTTATTACAATCATAGTACAGTGCACCCCAAAACCCTATTCTAATTCTTGAGGCCCCTATGTGAACCTTAAACCCCAAACCCTCAGCTAGTTGCTACGGCCCCTACATTAGCTGTGCTGCAGCAGCACAGGGAGGGCCGGAAGGCGGCCTCCGCCAGGAGACGAAGGGCTCCTAAGCCGAAGCAAAGGCCAAGGCGAGTGCTTCGACCGTCTGTTTCGGGGTTTTTGTGCTTAGGTTTTGGGTTTTAGGGGTTTAGGGGTTTAGGGTTTGGGTTACGATCGTCTGTGTAGTTTTTAGGGGTTTACTTGGAGGGTCGGGGGCCTTCGTAAGTAGTTATTTTATAGACTTACAAGCATCATAACCCCAATTAGGATCCCTAGTAGGGTACAAATAAATAAGCCTACTTATTACCCACTCACTAAGTCCCCGGACCCTCCAAGTAGGGGGTTAGGGTTTACGTGCTGTCGGATTCTGTCTGCCCCACGCACCGCATTTCGACCACATCAGGGCTTAAGTGGAACCCTATGGGCCCTCCAACCCGCAACGCAACAGCAACCCACGAACCCTTACGATAACCTCAACACCACAGAACTTAAGGGGGTACTTGGAAACAGTTCTTAGTTTTCGGTTGCTCTACTCCCTAAGGCACAGCTAAACTTAAAATTTTGCACGAGTACCAGGTTCACTACAAAGAAAGCTTTAACAGCCCATCTTTAAAGACCCTGGAACCCTGCAGCTGCCTTTAAAGAACCCCGACTCCCGGAGCCTGAGCTCCCCAACCCTTAAATCCCGAAAACCCTACACCCAATGTCCGAATTTCTTAAACCCCTAAACCCCAAACCCGGGCCTCAAGCCTAGACCCTACACCGACCAAAAAAACACACAAAAAAAAAATAAGAAGCTTTCGCTTTCTGTTGAAACACGGTCTGCGGGGCAGGAGCAGCGAGAAGCCCGGCTAGCGGAAAACCTCAGGAGCGAGCCGAGAGCACAGCTCTGTCTATGCTTGCCAATAGTTGTAGTATTGTGCTGATAATGGCTATAGGGTTTAGGGTTTAGGGGACTATAATAATCAAAATTTTGGGATTTTATGCTGGTATCATGAGTCTTGATAGTAGTAGTTGCTGTCGTTGTTGCTGTTATTGTAGTCATCGTCGTACTCGTAGTTTTCGTCGTGGTAGTTGGTACTAGCTGCCTTTCTTAGGTTAGGGATGTTAGTGCCTTAATTAAGAGCTCGGATGCAACAATATAATCCCCCGGCTTTGCTCCTAGGTCCTAGATCTAAGGCCTTAGTAAGAAGGGGGTTTAGGGTTTAGGGCTTCTGTGTTGTGCAAAACGCCTGGTCTTGTTCTTAGTTTCATTTTTCGTTTCCACTGCCAGTTGCCATACCATTCGAGGGCCCCTGCGTGACCCTTATGAAACTACCGTAGCGCGTACCCACAAGCCGTTCTCTGAGGAATCGATTCGATATTCTCATGCGAGTGTGCTTCGGTACTGAAACGGGGGTGCGCACACAAGATGTGTAAGCGTGTTTCTGTGCACATAAAGCCCCCTACCTCTCCGAAGAACCTGCATTTCACTGGCAAACGATCAGGTCTTTGAGTCAAGCTCGCCATCCAGTAATCTCGAGATCATGGAGTCCCCGTAACTTTGAATCTAAGGCCAGTGCCTCAAGCCCGGGAGACTTCCAAGCCTTTTTGGATCAGTGGCAGCAACAATGCCCGAGTGCAAGAAGACCGGGCCTCTAACATACCCGTGCCCGTGCCAGTCCCTTGTGGCAAGTGTTTTACTTGCAGGTGCTATTATAGGGGCCTAGACAATTACCAATACTCTTTTAGGGGCTCCTTATTATAGCTATAGAATAGTATACCACAAAACCCTATTCAAATGGTTAAGGCCTCTATATCATAGAACCCCATTATAGATCCCTTATGGAACCCTTTAGAGAACCCTTAAGGGAACCCCAAAACCTTATGCTAATGGTTGAGGGCCCCTATATTATGCTAAAAGCCTGCGGACGATGTGAGGAGGCGTCAAGCTCGCGGGGGGGAGCCGGAAGGTGTGCCTTCGAGGCACTCGAGGGAATTCAGGATTTAAGGGTTTAGGGTTTAGGGTAGGCGGTAGGAGTCGGAGTCTGAGTTGGAGTCAGAATAGGAGTAGGAGTAGCAGCAGCCGTGGCAGTACTGTTGGTACTAGCAAAATCATACGGGGTGTATGCGCAAACCAGAACGCCGCTTGGGACGCCAACTGTGTTGGTGGTACTGGTGACCATGGTGATGATGCTGTTGATGATCTCGTTGTTGGCCATGGCGGCGGAGGTTGCGATGGCGATAGCAACGATGACGCATGGCTCTTGATAATATGGCCACAGCGTGATCGTGTTCACGAGCAGCCTGGGTCAAGGAAGTTGTCGAAAGATCGTCATGGCGGCGACGATTGTTATGATGATGCTGAGAGGGTCATGATGGTGTTGATGACAACAGCAAGAGCGTCATTGTTCTGTTGTTGCTGTAGGTTTGACTCCATTCTCTTGAGCACCCTATCTCCCCTTATGTCTGCGGCATACGGCTGATGATATAAATCCTGCATTGCCCACTATAAGGAATATACGAATATACATATACATCCCACAGTTTAGGGTCCTTAAATATCATCACCAGTATCACAAAGGGGCGCGTAGACCAGGAGAGCCCTAAACCCAAAACCCCAAAACCACAAAAACCCCTAAACCTCCAAAAACCCAAAACCCAAAACCCTAAGCCCCAAAACCCCAAAACCCCTAAACCCAGGCCTTGTCCGGTCTTCCGTTGAGAGGCCCCACGGGATTGAGCCAGATGCCCGCCTCCATCATGCAGCCGTGGCCCCGGCGTTTTTTGTTGTGTAAAGTTTCGGGGGTTCAGGGTTTAGGATGTAGGGTTTAGGGTTCAGGATTTAGGGTGTAGGGGGTTAAGAAGGTTTAGGGGGTTTAGGGGGTTTAGGGTAGGGTGATGAGGTTGTCCTCTCGATTTGT